GCACGCACACGGGAGAGAAACCGTACGCGTGCGGTGTATGCGAGTACAGGTGTTCTCGGCTGACGCATCTCCACAGGCACGCGCGCACGCACACGGGAGAGAAACCGTACGCGTGCGGTGTATGCGAGTACAGGTGTTCTCGGCTGACGCATCTCCACAGGCACGCGCGCACGCACACGGGAGAGAAACCGTACGCGTGCGATGTATGCGAGTACAGGTGTTCTCGGTTGGGGCATCTCCAGAGACACGCGCGCACGCACACGGGAGAGAAACCGTACGCGTGCGACATATGCGAATACAGGTGTTCTCGGCTGACGCATCTCCACAGACACGCGCGCACGCACACGGGATACACGTGCGACATATGCGAATACAGGTGTAGGACCGCCAGCGACCTCAAGGTGCACTTTCTCTCGCACTGGCACACGGGAGAGAAACCGTACGCGTGTGACATCTGCTCTTTCAGGGGCTTATCCTCGGCCGCTTTCTCGAAACACATGCGCACGCAGTCGCACCGACGAAAAGCCACGTACAATCAATCGTGAGTGATGTGATGGATGCGGGTTAAACAGCTAATTCGTCAGACATTAAACGTGTGGATATGGACGCACTCTCTCCAGTAGACTCCAGTGACGTACACTCAGACTTGTATAAGAGAAGAATTCCTGAAAGGCGATGTGCATGCAATCAGGGGTGATGTGACTGACATTCTACCGATTAAACAGTTAATAAGCCAGTTCGTAGTTACGCACTGGCGCCCTATGATGTCATCGGGTCATAGGTCATTTGTACATAGCTGAAAAGTTGGATCGCACGTTTGCTCGTATGCTTGATAATACTTGCCGTATACTACGTAATATGCATGAATGCTATACAGAAATTATGTAAAAGCGTGCGTGCGTTTGTTTTCTGTACTGAACTGAACGACTATCTGCCTGTGCTTTTTTTTTTTTTTTGATTTTTACGTGTGTGTATGATATTTATTGTGGGGTATTTTTGGTAGATATGCAGTGTCGGTTCTTCTCGTTCAGTCAGTCTTGGTCATATCATTTATTTATGGATGTCTTTTTGCTCCCTGGATTTCTTAATTCGAATACAACAGAATTGCACACTCAGACATACATGTTATTAACTTGCAAAGCATATATATTACTTCATTTTTAATGCACATCTAACTACATGTATATGAACAAGGAGGAATGTTAACCTCTAAATACATTGTACAAGCAATTAAAGCAATGAAAATGGGGAAATTGTGTACGTGTATACTTGTATGAAACCTGCAAATGTGATAATTTATAATGTAGCAAGTTTAAAAAATAGCAATGAAATAAATGCGTTTCCATTTTAGAGAAGCGAATAAACATGTATCATATTTTTTTCTTTTCTTATTATTAATATCTATGAAAATCTTTAATTTAAGTACCATTTGATATAAATAATAAAAATTATATGCGTGATTACTGTTTCACGTGTAAATGGTATTTTAGAAAGAAAGAAAGAAAGAGATTATGAGAGCGGGTGAGAGGGGGGGGGGGGTGCGCGAAATACGGATAGTGCGTGAAAAGGAAAAAGAGGAATATGAAAAGAACATGCAGAAGAATGGCGAGAGAAAATGATAGGGAGAGGAATTTTGTGGAAATATGACGCGTGCGTGCGTGCATATATGTGGTGTACGTGGAATAGTGCGTACGTGCGCGCGCTCTTCTTCACTCTTCTCTCTCTCTCTCTTCTCCTCCTCTCTCTCCTTCTTTCATACCTCTCTCGGCTGCTATCTTCTCTATCTAACTAGTATCTATCTGAGCTAGCTTTCTATTCTATATGCTTAGTTCTGTCTATCTCTACTATCTATCTTAATCGCTATTTAATTTTCATCTAGCTCAGCTATCTAATCTATCTAATCTATCTATTCTCACTACTCGTACGCGAGCGCACGCAGCGCACATCACGACACAGCGCACACACACACACACACACGAGCGCGAACACCGCACATGCACACTCACACGCACACGCGCCGCGCATACACACACACATTCACACACAACACACACTCTCTCTCATCTCTCTCTGCTCACACATCGCACGACCAACACAACATACACACACACACACACACACACACAGCACGACACACACACACACCACATTAACACAGGTCTCCTCTCTCTCTCTCTTCTCTCTCTCTCCTCGCTCTGCTTTCTCTCTTGTCTGATTGTTCTCTTGTCTATTATCCACGCTCCCTTCATTCGTAAATTTCCCATCACATTGCCGCCGTTCGTTCACATCCTTAAACATCAAAACCAGTTACTCGGCTGTCTGCTGCGAGTCGTGGACCTCGGAAGAATGTTTGGCGTAAATCTCAATCTATCGTTAGAAACCACTGCTCGAAACTGCCTATTAAAGGCTCATAAGTTCCGTTTAAGACCTTACAAAGATATAAAGTCAACTCTGCATCTCGGCGGGCTTGAAGTGGCGAGGACGACGCTATATTGGGCGTGGATGTGCTGTATAATCTTTCATTGGAAAGAGTTGCGGAAATAGCCTCTAGCGAAAAAAAGAAGGGCAGCTCCGGAAAGTATTATTGTATTTGTACTCGCTTCTGCATTGTGGTGTAGCGATAGCTGAAACGATGACGCTTAGTTTAAATTCTTGCGTCGTATCTGTCTGATGCGCGGTATCGCCGTTTAGAACTAGCGTTGCTTGTTGTGTCAAGCAGTGGCGCAATCCAGTAGGCGGGGGGGACACGGGGGAACTACTTTGTTGCATCCCCCACGAATCTTGTTCTTCACGTATGGGGCGGAACATCATATAAATGTCGCAGGCCTCCCCCTACGAGTTTTGGGGATCACCATTGATTGTGTGGTGTAGGGGTGTGCGTTGTGTGCCGCGCGTCGCTTGTGCGCGTGATGTAGCAAGCGCGGGTGTGTGCGTGTTTTGTGATAAGTTTGAGACCTTTTTATATGTGCTGTGGATTAGTGCGTCAAAACGATTGGCTCCTCTTTCGCCTTTTTTTGTTGGTTGCCAGATTTTCATTTTATTCATAGTGATTTTGAGAGCATAATAATGGATCATGCACAACTTAAGAAAAAATGTTGTCTTTGATAGAATTTAGTTCCCGTATATTTTTAACACGTTTTTCTTTCTATAATATTTAAAAGTAAATTCTTTATGCCGAGCAATAATTATTGCAAGAGAACAGCTTATGTTTCATGGAAAGAATTTAGGAGAATATTCACTCACATTTAGACACTGATTCAAGGATTAAGCTGGAAACACAAGTATATTCACGCAAAGGAGTTGACACTGAGTAACTGTGAGTGCATATTCGGGTTTTAATAATGTTAACTTTTTCATTGCAAATTGATATACCGCTATATTTGTATGAAAGCCTGGACCAACATCATAATAACCCGGCCCCCACCAAATAATTTTATTTCGCTGGCCACGGTGGCATCCCAGCTCGTCACACCAAGATTGATTGGTTTTTTCTTGCTTTTTTGTTTTTCTACTTGCATTTTATGACTGCCAGTCTGCATGGTGGACACCGAGTTTCGTCGAATCTTTAATCACAACCAAATGCATGTGTTGTGTGTTGTTGGGTGGTGGGGGGGGGTGGGATTTTGTGTTGTGTTGTGTGTGTGTGTGTTGTTTTTGGGTGTGTGTGTGTTGTGTTGTGTGTGTGTGGATACTGTGCATCTCATGCCCCGGGTCAAGTTCTCTCTGTGTGTGTGGTTTGGTGTGCTGTGTGTGGTGTGTGTGTTGTTGGGCTGCGTCCTTTTCTGTTGTGTGTGGTTGTGTGTTGAGTGTGTGCTCTTGTGTGTGTGAGCCTTGTCACATGTGATGTGGTGTCGGTGTGTGGTTCGCTGGGTGTGTCTGTCTCTGTGCCTTGTGTGTGAATGCCAGTGTAGTGATCTGCACTTGTGTGCGTGACGTGTGAGGAGACCTGTGTGTGCAGGGGCGTGTAGAGGGGGGCGGTCGAGGGGGTCCGGACCCCCCCTACTCGCGCAGAAAACGCATCTGAGGGGGGTCTAATTTCAAAAAATTTCTGGGGGGGAGCCCTAAAAATCTAGCAGATAAAATAAAACAAAAAATCTGAATTTTTGAAAATATTTGAATATAGCACATATGGGTAAAAGAATTTGTTTTCCTATGGCAATCATTCACCTATTGAGATAACATCATTTAATATCTCAAATTTGCATGAATTGTTCAATATAAGAATATTTGACATTAATATTTCAGTAGAGTCCACAATCGTCACGGCTGCAAGAAATCCTTCAGCTGTTTTGTCTGCCCTCTGGTTCTTCCGAAAATCGGCATATGTCCCGATGGGCTGATTGCACCTGTCACGAGAAATACACATAGACGTGTGTATAAAATGATAAGTAATCGAAATCAAAACCACAGAGTGACATAACCTTAACCGTGTCTTGTTTTAGTAGATTAGCTTCATAAAATCGATTTTCAGGTCAGAGTTTCGTTACCTGCTATATATTATGCTATATTGATGCGTAATATATTTAATTATGAGTTATTGATACCGCACTTCATCCTTACATTGCACGTATGTGGGGTGTTACTTGAAACAAGGAATAACTATAAAACGAACCGGTTCTATTACCTGCCCGTCGGCTCAATGTAATACTTCTTGAAAATTTCCTCAGCTCCGGGGTTGATGGCTCGCTGCTTAGAACCCTTTTTGTAAAGGTAGTTACCCTTGCCCGACTTCCTACCTGCATATAATAAAACAAAAACCGTCGTCAGAAATTCGTCACGCAATACAGTAAAGCTTCTCTTACTGTTGCTCACTTGCACCAAATCCCCCTCGCATACGTCCTCAATCACCCATTGGTTCTCCCTCGTTTGCAATCGAAACAAATTAAAGCACAACGCCGAGCTCGAGTTGCGCATCAAACGCAACAGCGGTCGCATGTTCCCTGCATGCTCCTCACCAAGGAATCCAGCGGCGAGAATGTCCTTCAGAAGGTTAGGGTCCGATCCCACCAGGCGGTCGGGGAACGCCTTGCCCAGGTCCTCGGCAACGTGCTGAGCGACGTCGTTGCCCACCTCGTCCAGGAGCGTCGCCAGTCCCACCGGGAAACCATACGTCTTTGAAAGCTTGTCCAGCCTCCTCGGCCCCACGCCCTCCTTAAAATGAGCATAACGTGAATAAGGCTTCTATTAGTGTCTTTTCCCTTCACGAAGTGAAATGTACGGATGATCCATATCTAGCAGGGAGGAACTGATCACGGATGGTGTTATTGATCATCCTGTTTTGATATCATGGTATGTAATCAGAATTAAATCGCTACCAAGTTCAAACGTATCAGTACTATTAAAATCTTACATTAACGCAGTCTGCACGAAAAACGTCCACCCTCATTGGCCCAGCGGGCCTGTAGAAATATATAATTCACTGGCCCACACTAGGTTTTACAGGCCCGAATCAATGATCATCATATTATGAAAAGAGAAACCGAACCGGACCGGAAACCGGAAGTTGTTGCGACCTCTAACGGCAACAAACACGCATGGTGACGACTAGTTACTTCCCCTACTTAAGATCGGGAATATGATGCCCTAACGGTAAATATTTGTAAATTTTCATACAAAATATCGGGAATTTCAGTAAATTCTCAGACTGATCATCACATAAAGAAGCTGAAATATCATTAATAGACCATTTACTCCATTTTTTCCCACTGGCCCATCGGGCTTGTTCATTTACCAGATTCATTGGCCCCACGGAAAATTTACTGGCCTCGGATACCGGGCCAGTGGTTAATTTTGCAGACTGATTAACGTATCTGTGAGTGTGACACCACGCAAATACTATATGTTCTCGATACGTACTTAAACGTTAACAGCTTGTGATACGATCGATCAGCCTCCTAGACCCCCCCCCCTACGAATCCTGTCTACTTGCCTGCAGAAGTCGAACTATTTCTCCCATGGTTGGCGCGAGACAGCGGGTCGTGTAAAACCCGGGTCCATCCTTCACGACGATAACAACCTTGCGCTGTTTCAACCCGACATCAACAGCAGCCACTGCCAACATAAAAATCAGCTGCTGATCAATCGGGGCCAATATTTTTTGATGATTTGAGCAAGCCATATTGACACTACTATATGTGTTCAATTTGTGAAAACCTCTATAACTCACATTACAAAAAAATATATTTCTGGATTGAGTACGTTGCATTAGATCACATCAAAATAAAAAAGGGGAAAAAAGGGATATGAACCTGCAGTATCGTTTGATGTTTTATCCGTAGTGATGATCTCTAACAACTGCATCTTGTCTACAGGTGAGAAGTAATGCATACCAATCTGCCAATAACCTGCATGGAAAATCAAAGGTCTTACAAATAAAACTCCCTACCAAGAAATAGTTATGTTCCCCATGCAATATGCATTCTCATCATGAGACATTAATATATAATAACACAAGGAACTTCCATGGTAGCAGCGTTAGACAATGCAAATACATTAATGCTTACTGCCAGTGAAGTGATTTAGTCATGGATAACTATATAATGAAAACCATTGGTTCAAAATCACCAAGAACTGAAGAAATAGTCAACAAAACTCTTTACCTGATTGAATAATTTCATCGAATCTCTATAGTTCACATAAAAATAAGTTTATCTCAGTTAGATCCATAATAAGTTATAATTACTTACAACGACGAAAAGTCATAACTTATTATGGATCTAACTGAGATAAACTTATTTTTATGGAAACTCTACCTTTTCTGGTCTCTTGCTAGCCGTTGCTATTTTACTGATGGGCAAAGCTGACGTGTTAGAGGCAAATATGCAATCTGCTGAAATGTGATGTGTAGACAAAGAAGCCCTAGTTAGTTTTATAATGTAATAAATATATTTAGATCTTCAAAGACAGCTTCAATGACCATGTCCACCTTATCAAAGCCCTCATAGTCCAAGCGAGCACTCACGTTTGACATAGTCTGATCCCGTTCAAAGCTAAAACATTGTTTAAAAATTCAATATAAATCCTAAGGCCATAAAATCAGGAGATTTGATCAGGATATTGATAGACTCCTGATAAAATCATGCCTTACACAGATTTTACCATACACATAAATTTCCAGTGTCTTCCAGTGTGCCACTTACGACTAAACAAGCTCTTATCGATTTGACAGGTGACAGTTTTTGAAATTCATTAATACATTACTCACAACAATACCAAGCGGCATCTCATTTCACTCTCTTACTTAGCCATTGCACGCCTCAAACCAGCGTCATGTCTCAAAAGAATGAAAACTCATGGACCTTGGGTTTACCTAGTGATCTTCCTCTTCTTGACCGCAGTATTGAGGCCTGTATAGACCTGGTTAATGCCGCGCGACAGCCCGGCCTGCACCGTGTCCTTCATGATGACGTTATAGCCCTTGTCAATGCTCACCTGCACGATGCCAGCTCCCATGAGGCCAGCACCAAGCACAGCGACGTTCCTATTGCAAAATGCGATGGGGAAAAAACACCGAATCATCACCTGGATCTGATTTCACCGCCGTAAATATAATCTGCAGCGTAGTTTGGCTAAGTTTCGCGGAGTTTATGTTTAGCTACCGTTTACTAATCGCTCACGCATCACGTATCGTTCACAGACGTCGGCACGCCACCGACTAACCCGGGTTGCATACGCATCGCATCTTACTGTGACACAAAGGGAGATTTATAACGCGAAACGAACAATTCAGCGGTCAAACGCTCACTTGGTCGGTTTCTGCGGCTTTCCGAACCGGTTCTTCTTGCACGCCGTCTGGCCGTTGTAGAGTCCGATGAGCGCCTCGCTCTCACCCGTCATCCCCAGCTGAGCGAACCCCCGCGCCTCCTGCAGGTACCCTGCCTCCCGCGCCCTTGTCCCAGGCCCGTGCGTACAGCCTCGATGAGGCGCAGCGGTGCAGGGTAGTTACCCTGCGTCATCTTCATCACGGTGCCCTTCACCTTGTTGAAGAGCATGTCCTTCGCAAAGTTGTACTGCATCGCGCGATCCATGATTTCTGTCGGGACAAGAGAGAACGTTGACGCGCGATTGTCTACGTAGAGTATGCCACTAAATAGTAGAAGTTCCCTAACGGTAGAACTGTGTGCGGTAAACGGCACTGCACACATCTATCGCTGGAGCGACTAATTCTCCCGTATTTCTTCTGCAACTTATCGTCTGTCTCTGTGTCTACGCACTGCCACAGGAGGTTCTTCGTCTCTCGCTGTGGACCGCTGCCGTTCGCGCAGCCCGCGCGGGCCACTGCAGCGGCTTACACTCCTGCCAGATATCCAGTGTTCCTCTCATCCGCAGTCTTCACTACTGGCCCTGCGAAAACAACGGCCGTGGGGTTTCATCTGTGACTTACGTCAAGCACCTGTTTTTTTTTGGTAAAAATGTTAAGCAGTTTGTAAATTATGGGTGTGCTAGCCCTTTTGGTGAGATTGCCAAATCAGATGAAACATTACGGTTGCCACGAAACATTAACAAGGACACTCGTGAAATAAGGTGAAATATCTGTTTTCAAATTTTGAATTTTAACCTCCATTCAGGTTGTCAACCATCAGACCCAATAGCTAAGATAGCCTTCAGATTTAGTCTAGACAAGTACCAATACAACTGGGAATGTAAATAGTAACAGTAATAAAATTACGTGATATCAATCAGAATGTCCATTACCTAGTGGTGCAACTACCATGTCGACCAATCACATTTTCTTAGCCTTCGCCGCGCGAATGTTTTTGCCTGTTAGCATCCTGTCCATCGCATCGGGTAATGCAATCTACAACGACGAACGAAATTTAACAAATCGAGATTATTCAAACGAGATTCTACATGTGGCACTGGGACAAACTAAGCAACAAGTATTCACCTGATAAATATTCATGAAGGAATAAAGCGTACTCACCAGTCATGGCAGTCTCTGTGTTCCTCCACCTTCCGGTAGCAAGTCCCAGCATCACCTCAGGCAGGCCCAGCGTAGATTTGTTATTCACTGCTATGCGGTAGTGGCATGCCAGAGCCACCTGCAGCAACAGAACACAGTGGGAACTGTACACGTGGTTTCAACTTTGTCCTTATGCAGCGGACCAAAACAAAAGGTAGTCTCAAAACAATCACACATATGATATGGTAATTAATTTTCAATAATACACAATTTATTTATTACACCATTGAGCATAACCCAGGATAAAATGAAACCTTCTTGTAATATGCTTTAATTTGTTTTTTTTATAGAGTCAGAAATGTAAGAAAACCTATTCAGTACGAAAATCAGTTTCTCGGAATAGCATCAGTACTCAGATACCTAACCAAAGAGAAGAACATTCAAAAACCCACACAATTACCTCAAGCCCCCCTCCCAGGCAGGCACCTTGGATCGCAGCCACTACGGGTTTCGGGCTCTTCTCTGTCGATTCAAGAACCTTCTGGCCACCTCGTGAGATGTTGAATAGTTCCTCCTCGTCCTTGCATGAAGCCAGCATGCTGCAGCGAGAAGCACTCACGTAACTGTCATGCCATGGCTGTGTTAATACTATAAGCATTCACACTGTCGATTAGCACCAGGTCCTACCGAGAACACGTGAAACTAAATTATGCAGTCGGAAAGTTAAAAATCGACAGCTTTCTTGCACGCGTTAAGGTGCCACACTTTTTTTTAATGCAAAATTGAACTTCTGAAGACGAGAGACACACGGGATGCGAGCACCGAAGCAGACGACAATATACGTTCGTTTACTCACTTGATGTCAGCACCGGCAATGAAGGTGCCGGGCTTGGACGAGACCAACACAGCACTCTTCACTTGACTGTTGCCCTGCACTTCAGCCATTACTTCCTCGAACTCCGCCATCACAGTCCTGTTGAGCGAATTTACCTGGGCGGCAACAACGATTCATAAAAATATGTACGCAACTCGCAGATACCGAAAATGGACATATATCATAAGCGTCTATCATCAAAAGCCATCAATCACCCAAATCCACATTCTTGATGGATTAATGTACAGTATTTCGCAGCTTCTAAGACACTCTTATACATTAGACATATTCTGAGTAGTGAAAAGTTATCTTTCAATGATATAATAATATAAAATGTCTATGCATAACTTGGCATTAGGGTCATTGAAATTAATAATGGCAACATCATCCTTTATGTTAAGATGCAACTTCACGTGTTCATACGTTGCGATATGAGTTATTTTATTATAATTAAATTATATTCATAATTAAATATGTTAAGTCATTATAAAGATATACCTCCATACGTCTGTGGCGGCTCGCGGCGTCCGCGACGATGCTGCCTTCTGGCTCATGAGTAACGCGCGAAGAGGAGGAGTCCTCAGGTATCCATAACACGGTCGATCCTGACGACGTACCTTTAAGAAGTATTCGTTTAATACATATAATATCAGGAGTGTATAATAATATATCTATTATTATTCACTCCAAATCAACGACGGCACCAGTAGTGATATCATATAGCACACAGCCTCACCCGCTCGCAGTTTGATGCAAATATGTATTCCAACACAGTGGGTGAGCGCTACTCTATTAAGCTACATATTTGTATCTACCGTACTATACACAACCTAGTACGATAGATTAGTGAGTACCAAAACGTGGCAGTCCAACGTGAACAGGAAAGTACAAGTAAACCTGTGGCAGTGGTTATGCGACATTGCACTGATGTTTACACACACGTCACATATACGCGTGATGCGTGTGAGGGTCTATTCGCCTCAGGGTCTCGCGGGAACGTACCCTGTACGGTACGGTATACCGGAACGTACCCTGGTACTATCGAATACGAAGTGGCTACATGCAGCAGCTGGGAAGCGTCTCCATTTCCTAATATGCCCGCAGTTTTAATTTTCGGTGATTTCTCAAGTAAACAGTGTATACGTGATCCAAAGTATTCTACATTAGTTAGAAATGTCAAGCGATTTACGTTAGAGCTGTATATTCGAACTAGCCCAATTCTCCTAGCTTCGGATCACTGAGCAACAAACCGCAATCGACACTTAGAAATATCCGACGGCTGCCGGGCACGGTCTTCGATTTCCTAAATGCCGCGGCAGTTAAATCTTCGTCGGTGATTTTCAAGTAACAGGAGAAGGGTTAGGGTTAGGTTAGGGTTAGGTTTAGGGTTAGGGTTAGGGTGCCGGCTGCTGGGCATACAGCCACAGCGTATCTAATATATAGATTTATCATCGTATCACACATATGTCCACATCCGTGACAACTATATGCGCAGCTAAAAAATATTACATGTCAGACAGAAGCCTGATTACACATGGTAAATCTATGTCACCCAGTAATCACACAGCCTGATCAATAATCCTCGGTGAAACGCTGGTCAAAAAATAATCTTCACCATAATACATCACCAATTGGGGCAAAATAAGGAGGGTTTTGTATGCACTCGATCTCCTAACAGCTACGCTTAAGAAATATGAGCATTAATTTCAAATTAACGATACCCTCAATGTTTGCATAGGTACTGCTGTAATAAGCAGTACCTATTATCATATAGACTTGATAGTCATATAGCCAATAAGACTGTTCTTTATGCGTATATTATATCGACTGAATTTGTGACTGCGAGTACAATAGACAAAATAGTGAGCACTCTTGGTTATGCAAAGATCTTATTGTCAAAACTAATTGATGTCAGCATGAATCTGCTGGGTTGATCAATGAATCGTCGACAAAATATATTGATGTGTGGTCCAAGGCAAGTGTACAATATGCCACTGTGAATTGACAACAAAATCCACCGGCCGCATTTCCAGTAAAAATATCTCTCACATGTGGGTTCGATTAAAAAGGAACAGTGAATGCCAGCGCTAAGTGGCAGGGCAATTCCACTAAGTCGCGTTCACGACGGTCATGGTTTTCCTCGAGCCAACATGGACTAAGATTTGGCTCGGGCCGGTTGAGTCAGACGATCTACACGTAACCAAAGGAAATACTGTCTGTAAATCAAATTCAATAAATTATTGATGGCAAAATACCTCACAGATACTTTGGCATCGTATGTCGCGAGATGGCGTTGTGTACCGATTCAGAGTTTACTCCGCCGAGTTTCAATTAATCAATCTTGAAAACGTCATGCCTGATCAAATTTTCGAATTTTTATAACTGTGTGCGACTTTATTCGTCAAAAGACATGTCGACACTCACGGCATCTACCGCTCAACCGATCGTACCCGCCTCTACCCGCCCGCGCGAAAAGCTGGGTAACAACCATTGGCTCAGGCCGCGTCCCACGTTTCGATGACCCAAATCTGAACATTAGGCTCGTGCCAGAAAACATCCGTGTTGAATGCTCGGCTCGAGCCAAATCCGGCGCGGGCCTAATCTGGCTCGGGCCAAAAACGTCCGTGGGAAACGCGCCGTTAGGCTCATACTAAGTCTATGTCCCTCAGGGTACTGCCGAACGTACCGCTGGACTATCTTAGCTGAATGGTTAGGTTAGGGTTAGTGTTACGGTTAGGGTTAGGGAGTAGGCGTGTCGACTCCTTAGACCGTTATAAAGAGTAGGCGAGGAACGGTCCCCGGACATATTAGATAAGTACAAGTAAGTATTTAGCCCCGGGACGTTCCGTATACCGGACCGTACCCAGGGTACGTTCCGGCAGTACCCTGGGGCACAGGCACTTGAAGCGTTTCAATAAAATATAATGCTAAATAAATACGAAATCTAATACTAGTACTACAAAATTCTTAATGTTTCTAAACTGTGTTTCACCTATTATTGCCGACAGTTTCCTGTAAATTCCGTGTAAATGCTCTATGCACACACACTACTGGCCGCCATTCCTCACGCTGCACAGTGACTGTTAATATATATAGCAGGTAGGAAAGCGCTCGACTACAATCCGCTTGACGCTCGATGAATTTCACACGAATACAACACAAACATTCAACTCCATCTTTGTTTCAATTTCAACAGCAGTGTTCACTTGTTAGAAATACAGACTGTCTCTGTTCGTAACCGAGCTCTGTCACGCGAAATCACATAAACACTGGCGAAATTTGAGCGTTCGCTAACGTTGCGCAGTCAATGTAAATGTCTGCCGGAATCAGGAAAGCTATTCGTCACCTCTCTCTCCGAACGCTCCACCAGTGGCTCCACTGGCGGCTTTGACGGGGCTCACACGGGAGGTGGAAAGCAGCGTTGTTGTATCCCAAAATGCAATGCGCCGCCTAGCTATAGCCATGTACTTGCAGATTGACTGCGCAACGTTAGCGAACGCTCGAATTTCGCCAGTGTTTTTGTGATTTTACAGGACAGAGCTTGGTTACGAACAGAGACAGTTTGTATTTCTAACAAGTGAACACTGCTGTTGAAATTGAAACAAAGATGGAGTAGAATGGTTGAATGTTTGTGTTGTATTCGTGTGAAATTCATCGAGCGTCGAGCGGATTGGAGTCGAGCGCTTTCCTACCTGCTATATATATATTAACAGTCACTGTGCAGCGTGAGGAATGGCGGCCGGTAGTGTGTGTGCATAGAGCATTTACACGGAATTTACAGGAAACTGTCGCTGATAGGGTCTATGTCCCCCAGGGTACTGCCGGAACAGACGAGTCTAGGGAGTCGCCTACGCCTACTCCCTAACTCTAACCCTAACACTAACCCTAACCATATCAGCTAGATAGTTACCAGGGTACGTTCCGGTATACCGGACCGTATCCATGCAGGGTACGTTCCGGCAGTACCCTGGGGGAGGTTC